GTATGCTTGTTTCTTTAATCAATCACTTGTTCTCATACATACTAGTACAAGGGTTCAACTACTCAACTTCCGCTGCACTACTCAAGTCTCATTCTACAACTGGGACTTAGTCTCTGGAAAGATCCTAAGGGCTTTTCTCAGCCCAACATGGTATGAGAGCTGGTCAGAGACCAAACTCCCAGCAACTACGCTCTATCTACAATCTGCAATTCAACGACTTCATTGATTACAAGTCATGGACAGCAAGGGCAAGAAATCTCTACGGGCTCACCCAGCGCCAAGACACTCAACCGGCAACTCTGGATTGCACACTTCAGGACTGCAAACCGAGACCGGCGCTGCTCAAGAAACAACAGGAAGAGCACCGGAAATGGTGACCCCATCACCCTCTTCAAGCGTGGATCCAAACCTTATGGAAAGGTTCTTCAGCTTCATGTCGCACTTCGACCAGCAGCAGGACAAGGACACCTGCGCATTCAACACAGAGCAACGGAGGAAACATGGGATTAGCGCCGATGAGCCTCGACAACTCATCGTTCGGGCGACACAATCAAGCGCCTACCTTTGCGCCTTATCACTCTTCACCGGGGACGTTCGAGTTCATGCCGCCCGTGCCCAACCAACAGCAGCTGCATCACAACAAACACCAAACGAGATTTTAAGTCTCCAGGCGCAGTTTTCACACGTGATTAAACTGCAGACATCCTCACCATTCAACGGACACGATTTCTTTACCTGGAGTTTTGAGTTCGAGCTGCTGATGGAGGCTGCGCATCTCTGGGATACTTCAACGGGTCCCTGCCATTCCCAAGCAACGGCACTGCAAAGGAGCAAGAAATATTTACTTATCAGTCGCTGCTGGCGTACACAGTTCTCCTGCGGAACCTGTCACCACAAGAACAGCAGAGCATCAGAACATATCGGAGCTATGGAAACTCCGCGGAACTCGCATGGCATCATCTCAAGTGTCTCTATCAAGCAAACGACAGCGTGACACAAAGCAGACTCATGCAACAACTGACAACAATACAGATGAAGACCGGGGAAAAGGCGATGCAGTATATGAGTCGCTGCCAGACCCTCCGCGACCGCCTGCTTCGGTGCGGAGGAACAATCACTGAAGAAAGCTTCGTGACGCTTGTCCTCGCCGGGCTCGGGCCAGAATGGAGAACCACACGCTCGCTTCTTCGCGCCCACGGAAGAATCTCGGAGATGCACCTCTGCGCCGAGCTTCACGCTGAACAACAGGAGATGGACCTGTTCGAAGAAAGACAACCAAGGAAGCAGCAGCAGTTAGTTTTCTACACTCAACGAAGGAACGACAACAACTACAATCGACGCGGCAAGCAAGATCAACGCGACAACAGAGGACTCACCTTCGTGCCGCCGTTCTGCCACAACTGTCAGACTTCCGGACATTCCAAAGTCAACTGCACACGTCCTCGTGTTTATCGTCCAGTAGACCCACAAGTCGCCTCCACTCAAGAAAGCCCTCCAAGGCGCTCTTCCACATCTGCACAAGGACACCGAACATCATAACTGCATGGTACACATCGACAACTGCGCACCCGGATCACCACCCACTTACGCACAGAGAAGAAGAACTTCCGCCGCCGCGCTCACAAGGACTTCAGGTCAACCCGACATACGCTGCGGTCGCCAACGCCGAACCCACCGGGCGAAACACCTGGTTCTTGGACAGCTGCTGCGGTCAACACATGTGTTCTTCCGGACGCTTCGTGCAACGAGAGCGACGCCTCAACCGCGACGTCATCATCACCGTCGCCAACAACGAACCTGAAAACAAACAGACAAGGCGTGGTTCAGTTACAATCCATGGAGACAAACGTTATACTTCAACTCAACAAGGTCCTCATCGTCGACAACTTGGGATACAATACTAAGCGTAAGCCAGCTAATGGCAAAAGGGATTCACCTGGAGTGCGACTCCTACTCCAACGAGTTTCGCCTTTACCACGGGAAGGGCGGTCTCTTCATCGGTCGTGCTCTCCTGAAGTCCGGCGTCTTCGTGTTGGACTTCGTCCCCGACCGCGGTACTGCCGACAGCGACGGAATCGTGTCGTTCGCCGCCTGGACACACCCGCCGGATCTTGACCCCGACTTCGACCCGATGGATTCTGGCACTCCAACACCATACCTGCAGCAGAAAGAACACGAGCATTAGCAGTTATCAGACAAGAAAGACAAGTACCAGCAAGTGTCCCTTCCCAACCATCACCTGCAGTAGCAGCAGCAGGACCCAGCCGAGTACCACCACCAGCGATCCGAGGACCGCCAACCGAAGCAGATCAACTTATGCCCATCACACGAGAAGTCTGTCGAAAGTCCCGCCACGGTCGTCGCGTTCTTCTCCAACACCGACATATACCACCGCTCGCCCGGCCATCGCGCTCCGACGACATCTGGCACCAACGACTCGGGCACCCTGCAAATAGTACAATACTGCAAACCATCCAAGCCGAAGTGTTAGAACGCAACGCCCTCCTAACAACGAGCGGCCAAGAACTTCGACGACCACACGCACGGTGCTTTACGTGCACCAGTCTTTCCCATCTCATCACAACCCAAGCGCACCTGCATACGCACCGATGGAAAAAGTCTACAGCGACATTTTAAACATGCCTCGAGAAGACGCTGAAGCCGACTTCAACTATGTCATCACGTTTATCGACGCAGCAACAAGATACGTCTGGCACTACAACCTCAAGACGCGCAATCAAGCCTTCGACGCCTTCACGACATGGCTACCCATTGCCGAACGAGAATCCGGAACCAAGCTCAAGAGCTTCCAGACAGACGGTGCACTGGAATACCAGTCACAACGCTTCAGGACCTATCTGGCGGAAAGGGGAATCAGACGCCTGGTGTCTCTGCCCTACGCTCACCAGCAGCAGGGGGTCGCAGAACGCATGAACCGGACCTTGCAGACGACGATGCGAAAGCTGCTCCTGGGATGAGACTGCCCACCACACTGTGGCCAGACGCGATGACACATGCAGTCCACCTGCACAACCTGTTGTCCTCGTCATCGCTTCCCAAACAACGCATCACCGCACCTGCTGTGGACACAAAAAAGGGGCAGCACAAAATTACTTCGAGTTTTCAGCTGCATGGTACAGTACAGACCCCACACAGCCCGAGCAGGACGCTTCACTCAACGAGCTCGGTGGGGACTACACCTCGGCATCGCAAAACATTTTCACGCATGGAAAATCCTCGACATACAAGACAAAAATACAGTGGCATCACGTGATGTTATCTTCTACGAGCGACTGACGCTGCAGCATTACCTGGACAACATTGCCAACACACACGACCCCACCGACGGCTTCGCGGGCCTTCGTTCCTTCGCCGACCGTGCTGCCGAGGCTGACGCAGCAGAAGAAGACGTACCTGGAGCCTCGGAAGCTGCCGGACCTCTCCCTTTCTGTTCCGTACCTGTTCCACTCGACGAAGACAATCCTCTCGATAGTAACAACCTCGACACCTTTTATCACTTCGCTGACCAAGGTTACATTACACCCCACCCGGTCGACACAAATGTTTCAGAACGCATCGGCCCCAACTTCTTACCTGATCCAGAAGACGGTGACGAAGCAGCCTATTCCGGGAATGAAAATTCCCCTCGACACACACCCACGGGACTACAGATCCTCGGCCTATGGGTCTCCGTCCAGCATCCGCCGCCGCCATCTCCGCGCGAGCCCTCGACTTTGTCGCAGGCTCTGGGGGGGAACATAAGGCAAAATGGAAGGAGGCGATGGAAAAGGAGCTAAAGGCTCTGCAAGACCGAAATACATGGAAGCTGGTACCTGCAACAAGCATCAACGGGAAGAACGTCCTCTCGGGAAAATGGGTGTACCGCATCAAGACCAACGCGGACGGCTCCATCGAACGATTCAAAGCTCGATGGGTCGTACGAGGCTTCGATCAACGATACGGAACCGCCTACACAGAAACTTTTGCCCCAGTCTCCCGCCACACCTCCCTGCGCATCCTACTCGCCGTCGCGGCCACGAAGAAACTACCACTGCGCCAAATCGACGTCGCAAATGCTTTCCTGTACGCACCTGTGGACGCCGAGATCTTCGTCGAGCAACCCCACGGATTCATCGACGACCCTACAAAAGTATGCCAGCTGATAAAATCCCTCTACGGGATCAAACAAGCTCCGCGGCTGTGGCAGCAGCATCTTCACGGCCGCCTCGTCAGAATCAGCTTCCTACAACTGCCGCACGACCAAGGCATGTATCGACTACAGAAGGAAGAAGCCTTCATCCTTCTCATCGTCTACGTCGACGACCTGCTCTACATCGGCTCCACTACCGACATCGCCACCTGGTTCGAAGGGGAGCTAAAAGAAGACTTAACACTCACGGTGTCCGACGCAGTGACCCAGTACATGGGACCGAATGTCGTCGAAGACAACTCGGCGTTCTACCTACACGCTGGAAAGTACGCAGGCACTGTCGCGAAGAAATTCGGTCTAACGCCGACTACGGTCCCAACTCCCTACCGCTACGGGAACAACAACAGCACCTCCGCAAAACTCCCCGCGAAGCAAATCCAGGAGTATCAACAAAAGCTCGGCTGCCTACTATTCGCAGCAGTAACCTGCCGACCCGATCTCTCTTATAGCGCGAGCCAACTGGCGACGCATCTGAAGCAGCCGGAACAAGAAGATCTCGAGGAACTCAATCGGGCACTACTCTACTTTGTCTCCACACCGACGACCGGACTTACCTACAGCAAAGTAACAACACCGTCCGTACGACTACTCGGATACGTCGACGCCGACCACGCGGGAGACAGGGAAAATCGACGATCGAGAACGGGCTACATCTACCGACTAGAACCTATCGGGACTATCTCCTGGCAGTCGAGCAAGCAGGAACTAATCGCACTATCTTTGGCTGAAGCAGAATATATCGCCCTCTGTACTGCGACCAAGGAAGGACTCTACCTATGAGAGTTGCTCGAGGAAGCGAAGATCGCGACCCTGCCCGTCTTCTCACTCCTCTGCAACAACCAATCTGCGATCAAAATCGCGAACAAGGACGGCTTCGCCAACCGAACCAAACACATTGCCCTGCGGTACTTTTTCGTCAAATATGAAATCGCGAAGGGGAGACTTCAACTCAGTTACTGCCCTACAACAGAAATGGCCGCAGACTACCTGACGAAGAAACTGGCGAAGGCGAAGTTCGATTACTGCATGCTGCTGACCGGGCAGACAAACGTCACCGGATCGAACACGTCAGCACTCCAGAAACGAAGGGGAGTGTTGGAAATATCTCAAAGGACTTAAGCGTTTTTGAAGTGTAACACTACACTCGAGGAAGATCGCAACGGGTACGCGAGTCGACGGAGGTTACACGAGGGGATGGACAAAGAACGCGAAGGGACTTGAAGAGTCGCAACTGGAGGTTGCGACTGACCGTTACAACAGCGCGGATGGTAACCGAAGCGACAATCGAGTCGCTATGCGACTCGACAACCGCTCCTTGCAACTGTATTCTACAACTGCTTTACTTTCCTATTTTCTATATATTGCTGTATGCTTGTTTCTTTAATCAATCACTTGTTCTCATATACTAGTACAAGGGTTCAACTACTCAACTTCCGCTGCACTACTCAAGTCTCATTCTACAACTGGGACTTAGTCTTTGGAAGGATCCTAAGGGCATTTCTCAGCCCAGCAGTACCCACTAAGAACATACCCTATATATCCTATAACTTTACACAACAATATATGAATAAATTGACACACCCCCTAGGTTAGATAAGGGGTAGTGCGGAGCAAGGAACAACGCAGTTCAGGGTGGCACTACTAGTCCAACCTCTGAGGCAGGGGCCCGAAGTTCAGTCAGCAAGAGTACAAGCAAGACAGAGCAAACCAGGGCGGCACTGTCGAGTGACCCGCTGGGTTACCCTTGAAAAGATCCTCGGGGAAGGGCCACAGGTGCAGAGCCTGGGGGGTTATGGGCGCACTAACACGCTATTAAACAAGTCCTTTTAACCCAGTGGTGTGACTGGGTTTCTGACATGGTATATTAGAGCCAAAGGTCTTGGGATCTAGTCCCAGTGCCAGTGCTGCAGAGGCGCTCGTGTCTTCCACCTATCCCAGCGAGGGGGGGTGTTGAGTGACCCGCTGCGCTACCCTTGAAAAGATCCTCGGGGAAGGGCCAGAGGTTCAGAGCCTGGGGGGTTATGGGCGCACTTATCCGTTGTTTAACAAGCCCTTTTAACCCAATGGTTAGTGACTGGGTTTCTGACAGGCACTACTAGTCCAACCACTGGAGGAAAAGCCACAAGGCCAGTCTGGAAGGCATAAATAGAAAGGAGTGCACAATCAAGGGCCTAGCAAGTGAGTCAACAGGGACTAGACCTAACTGCAAGCAGTGCCGCTGATGATCTCTAGGTGGAAGCGCCTTAGTAAAGATATCAGCTGTGTTGGCACCGGAGGCCAAGTGTACTACGCGGGCCTGGCGACGCTGCTGAAGCTCGCGCATGAGGAAGTACCACAGCTGAATGTGCTTCGCTCTGCCCTCAAGTCGAGGCTCCTGACACAGGAGGATCATGGCCCTGTTGTCAGCGTACAGAACCAGAGAAGAACTAGGCCGCTCACCTAAGTCTGTGGGCAAGAAGGTCAAGCCAGCGGAGCTCCTGTGCCGCCATGGCACCGGCGTAGATCTCAGCCTTGCAGCTAGACTGAGCAACAGACGAGGAGCGAGTGGACCTCCACGAGATGGCACCAGAACCAAGGCTGAAGCAGTAGCCCTGGGAGGACCGGAGGGTCTCAGCATCGTCTGCCCAAGAAGCGTCTGTGTGCCCAGTAAGGACCACTGGCCTGCGTCCTCCCAGCACTAGCCCCATGCCCGATGTACTTGCAAGATAACGCAAAACCCTCTAGCGGCCGACCAGTGTTGTGGTCGGTGTTTGCCTGTGGCCACAAAGCGGGCCAGGATGCTGAGAGGGTATGCGAGATCTGGACGAGTGCAAGTCATCAGGTACATGAGGCAACCCAGCAGCTCTGTGTAAGGACCACTGGGCTGTGCTGACTCCTCGGGAACTGGAACTGAGAGCATGTGGTCTACCGGCAGAGGTGTGGGCTGTGCGGAGGAGAACTGAAGACCGAACCTCTGAAGGACCTGGCGCACCAAGTGTGACTGTGTAAGAGTGATGGTGCGCGTTGCTCTGTCCCTGGAGATCTGCAGGCCAAGGTAGCGGCGCAGCTCTCCCAGGTTAGTGCAGGTGTGTTGCCTCAGCAGCTCAGCCTTCACGGAGGTCAGCGCGTCTCTGTCAGCTGTAGCAAAGACCAGGTCGTCTACGTAGACCAGGATGTAGAACGAGTCTGGCCAGCACGAACGCAGAGCGAAGGGTCAGCAGTGGAACGGAAAGAACTGCAGGTCAGCTAGCGTGGCAAACAGCATGTCGTGCCACTCACGGGGCACCTGTCGCAAGCTGTAGACGGGGCGCCGGAGAAGCCACTGGGTCCCAGGAGGGAAAGTACCGATGAAGCCCTGAGGGCGGCGCAGGTAGACCTGCTCGTGTAGGACGGACGGAGGACAGACCAAGGTCAGAGACCAGAGCGGTAGCGAATTCAAGGTGGCGAGTAGAGGCAAAGTCAGCGACAGCAGCTACAAGAGTGTCAAGACTGGAGACAGGGACAGGCGGGCCGGTAACAAGTGAGGCAAGGACTCGAGGAACAAGAGGATGAGCAGCACGAAGGTAGTCAGACAGAGGGGGAGGCGCGATAGTGAGCAACGACGGAGGAGGCGAAGGCAAACGGGGAAGACGAGATGCGTGGGAGAGAAGCAACATAGGGTGAGAACGCTGAACAGGAGAGCCAGGGACAGGCATTAGAGGGACGGCGACACCAAACGTGAGATGGAGGCGTCGGGTCAGGAGACAGAGGATGAGTAACAGGAGGGGGAACGAGAGGGGAAACAAGCCGGGGACGAGTCTGTCGGAGGAAACACAGGACCGTGAACAGGAAGAGGGGAGGCGTAGGCGAGCGGCCAGGGGAGGGAAGGCCGAGCAGGCGAAGGGCGGACTCAGGCGGCGGCTGCTGCGGCTGCTGCTCAACGCAGACACCTGGACCACCAGCTTCAGCACTGCTACCTCCGGTACACTCCACGCCAGCACCCCCAGAACGAGAAACGTCTCCAGCGCCGGTGCCACCCCCGAGCCCGCTGGGATAAGCCACGACAGAGCCCCAGGACTAGCACCCTCTCCAACTCTAGCACCCCCAGAGTCCACGAACGGCTGCGGCTGTGACGACGGCTGCGGCGGTGACGGCAGCGGCTGTGGCGGCGGCTACGGCTGCGGCGACGGCTGCGGCTGCGGCGGCGACTGCGACGAGGGAGGAGGAGACACCGGGGGAGGGACAGGTGGCGCGGACTGCGCCGCAGGGCCACCGGAGTCAGCCAACTCCTCGACCGGGACAACCGACGGGAGGGGGGTGACGTGAGACCACACCAGACAGAGCAGGACGGGGAGGGAGGGGAGCAGGGCAATCGCGGGAGTGGGAACCAGAAACAGGGGGGGGGGGAATCGGGAGACCTCGGTGAGGAAAGCGGTGGAATCAGAGTAATTCTCTTTGTTTCTCTGAAAATCATAGTCGTTTTTGAAAACTACTCTTGGTGACCTGAGTAAAAAAAAAGAGGTTTTATTTTACTTTGATTATATCAGAGTAACCATTTGTATCCCTCTGAGGGTTAGTGTATAAGGGGTATATCTTTAGATTTCCCCTGTACCCCGTACCTGGCCATGCCCCAATATCCCGCCAAACGCGTCATTTTACGCGTACCGCCAAGCAGTGGCACGTCATATGCTGCCATCCTTGCCACTGCTGGCAGCATCCTTTGCGCTGATTAGTCACCACTGCAGCATCACTGGCAGCGGTTCCCTCACCACCGCACGTCGACCTTGGTCACCATCCATGCATGCACGACCAACCTCACTCCCTCACCCACTCCGAGGCGCCCCACAATTCACCCACCCTCCAAGAAGAGTAGACGAAACCCTCGTCTTGTTCAACCTTCCCTTCCTCCCCTTCACCAAATATGTCTCTCACACCTTCCTAGCATAAGAAAACCTCCGCTTACCTTCGCCGTCGCTGCCGTCCGTCGTCACTCGTGCCACTGTCGCCATGGCTGGCACGGGTGAGGCCGACGATGGCGGTGGCGACGAGTCTCTCCCTTTGCGAACTCCTAGTTCGCTCCCTCTTAGTGGGCTCGACTTTCTCCATCGAGTTGCTACCACTCCAGTTGAGCCACAACCTCTGCCTTCTCTCAGTAGTGAGGAATGGTAGAGAAATTTAGAGGCTATGGTCGACGCTGAAGGTCCTGTCGCTGAACCTTCAGCTATACCTGTTGTCTCTACATCAACTCCAACGTCCACATCAACGGCATCAACTCCAGCCTCAACTCGCGTGTCTGCCTCAAAAAGGAGACTCATCTCCTGTTCGCGACGCCTCCCCAAAAGCCTCCGCCACCACCAGAACCATAGCCCATGCTACAGCAAGTGCCAGCGGCTGCTTTAACCCCTGCCGAGAAGAGGGCAAAGGCCTATCTTGCCGCGCAACGGAAGTACACTACCAACTGGTTACCAAAATCCCCCTGGCTAGTGCTGGATAAGTCTAACGATGGTGCCCCTTGCTTGTGTTGCAGTATCTGTATGGAACACGGCGAAGACCACGCATGATACGGGCGCAACGGTGCTGGTGGATGGGGTCTCCAGATAGGCTCAATGCGTTGGCATGAGGTGGACACATGGCAGAAGAAGCTGGAAGTGCAGGAACAAAGAGCGCGCACTTGGGTCAAGTCGAACCTGGAGCTGTTTCACAACACGCTTCCTGGTATGTATGTTGTCGATCCCTCCATGCACGTATCCCTAGCACCCACAATGTCGTCTCGCTATATGTTTTATAAAATGGTGGCAACACCATCATGGTTCTTAATCGATGTGTTCCCTTTCAATGTCTCGAATCCCCGCCCTAGCCCTTCCACAAGAGTGGATGGTCGAGCAGCTGAGCCGGAGTTGAAGACTTTCTGTCACATCATGAAGACGCACCGTGCTGATGACGACTTCGACCAAGGTCTCGCCAACATGCTGAAGATGAGGGAGTGGGCCAAGAGCTATCCGAATCTCATGAGGATCTGGCAGGCGATGGCGGTTCTGCCCTTGAGCACCGTCGAGTGCGGGTGCGGTTTTAGCAGGCAGAATGTCGTCAAGAGCTGGCTGAGGACGAGCCTGTGTAATGCAAGACTCGGCAACCTGATGACCATTAGCCTCCTCGAGTACGACATGGAGATTTGGAGGCGCCAGAAGAACCGCAGACAGGCAAAAGTAGTGGCTTATGAGAGGAGCAGCGATGCTGCCAAGGGCAAGGAGCATGATGAGTCCGATGAGTCAGAGGAGGAGAGTGGCTTTGGTGAGAGTGCCTCAGAGGGAGAGGAGGATGAGCATGATGAGTAATGTATGCATGCGTATTTGAAATTAAATGTGCGTCTATCGGACCAACCACAAAATCCCATTAATCATGTGTTTTTTGGGGTGCACTACAGCAGGACAGAGTTGTGGGAATTTCTCCTCTGCACTACCAGTGTAAATTTTTCAAAATGGTAAAAAACCCTAGCAAATCAGAGAAAGTCTTTGAAGGTGCACTCTGATTTTCAGAGTAATGCGAAATGCCACTCCCCGATATCAGAGTAGGCCCTGGTTCGAAGCACATGTTTCTTTCGCTATTCCCGCCCAAATTGCGAGTACAATCTTAGGTTTCTACCCCCCTCACAACTCGACCCATTTCTCCCCTCCAAGAACTTGGCAGGTTGGCACTGCCAAGTTCCAAGAGGCCCCCAACCCTGCCAGGTTGGAAACCTTTCGCGAGCGTTTGGCAGTTTGACACAAGCTGCTCGGTTACGGGGGCCTCAAGGTGCAGCATCTTGAGAAAAGGGGACTTGCAACCTGCCGGTCGGGCTTTAAAGTCGTTGACCCAAATTGCAGAAATTTCGTTTCAAGATTATTAATCTTGAACCCTCCCGATTGGTAACCTTGTTCCCCAAAGCGAGAGCAGAAACCCTCGTCGCACACTGTAAGGAATCTCCTAAATCATAACACACACCAAAAGGGAGCTGAAATTTTTGACACGCGTGCGCCACCCCCTGCCGATTCCGCCCCGCCCCCGACACACAGGGCGTTTGCGCATAAGGAAACTTGAAACTGCGCGCATGCATTTTGGGACTTTCTGTTGTGCACAACCCAGCCCAGCGTCACCACTCCCAAGGCAGCATAAGCAGCATACATCGAGTGCCCAAGACACACATACCAGGGCCTCGACGATACGCCAAAGACAGACTTCCTTCCACCAAAAGTCAGACTCACGACCAATAGCCCCGCCTTAGCATTCCCACGAATGCCATGTAAGGACCTTCAAATCGCACTGTCTCTAACACCCGTAGTACCCTCCGATTTCTACCCTCGGACCACAAAAAAATGTCGCCGAAACCGGCGTCACCTACAGCCCGAGACCCTGCAGCAGAAACGCGTGCGACGAGCTCGAGCTGTGCAAGGAGGGAGTAAGGGTTAGTAACATGCATGAAAGGTACCCACAGCCCATGCGGTTTCATTACCCAAAGGTGGCTGGAAAACTACAGCAAAGGCGGCGAAAGCCGAACAATCTCGTGTATGCTTCGCGTAGAGGTGGGGTTCGTAGCACGGCAGCAGTGGAGTACATATAAAGCTCAGAGGGTTAGAAAACGCATTCGTACCATGCTCACGTCCCCCTCTTCCCCAGTCCCCTCTCACTTGCTCGGCTCGCTGTTGTGGTGCCGTGGGGCACATCCGCCATGCGCCTTCCCGCTCCCACACGCGCAGTTCTTGCTGCTTCCGCGCCATCAGTTCTCATTCTCCCTCGTGATTTTCAGCCTGCTGGATGGTGCCTTCGCATGTTTCTGCACCGGTACGCAAATCTGATCTCCGGATTACTCGTACTGGATCAACTCCCCTCATCTCCTTCCCCACTGCCTTCTCTCCCCATCCGGTGCCCTGCCGCTGGGCGTGTGCGTGCCGGAAGATGTGGCAGCAGCGGGAATTGGAGCAGAGGATCAGAGGAGCGGAGAAGCAGAGGAGCGGAGGAGCAGAGGAGCAGAGGAGCGGAGGAGCAGAGGAGCGGAGGAAGAGAGTGGCGGAGGAGGAGAGGCGCAGTGGAGCGGAGGAGCGGAGGAGAAGAGGAGCAGAGGAGCGGAGGGCAGAGGAGCGGAGGAGCAGAGGAGCAGAGGAGGAGAGGAGCGACGGAGCAGAGGAGCGGCGGAGCAGAGGAGCGGAGGAGGAGAGGAGGGGCGGAGCAGAGGAGCGGAGGAGCAGAGAAGCGAAGGAGGAGAGGAGTGGAGGAGGAGAGCATCGGAGCAGAGGAGCGGGAGGAATAGAGGAGCGGAGTAGCAGAGGTGCGGAGGAGCAGAGGAGCGGCGGAGGAGAGAAGCGGAGGAGGAGAGGAGCGGAGGAGCAGAGGAGCAGAGGAGCGGAGGAGGAGAGGAGCGGAGGACGAGAGTAGCGGCGGAGCAGAGGAGCGGAGGAGCAGAGGAGCGGAGGAGGAGAGGAGCAGAGGAGGTACGCTGCGGAGGAGGAGAGGAGCGGCGGAGCAGAGGAACGGAGGAGCAGAGGAGCGGAGGAGCAGAGGAGTGCAGGAGGAGAGGAGCGGAGGAGCAGAGGAGCGGAGGGGTAGAGGAGCGGAGGAGGAGAGGAGCAGAGGAGGAACAATGCGGAGGAGGAGAGGAGCAGCGGAGCAGAGGAGCAGAGGAGGAGAGGAGCAGAGGAGGAGAGGAGCGGAGGAGCAGAGGAGTGGAAGAGAAGAGGAGCGGAGAAAGAGAGGAGAAGAGGAGGAGAGGAGCGGAGGAGGAGAGGAGCGGAGGAGGAGAGGAGCGGAGGAGGAGAGGAGCGGAGGAGGAGGGTAGCGGCGGAGCAGAGGAGCGGAGGAGGAGAGGAGCGGAGGAGCAGAGGAGCGGAGAAGCAGAGGAGCGAGGAGGAGAGGAGCGGAGGAGGAGAGGAGCGGAGGAGGAAAGTAGCGGCGGAGCTGAGGAGCGGAGGAGGAGAGGAGCGGAGGAGCAGAGGAGTGGAGGAGCAGAGGAGCGGAGGAGTAGAGGAGCGGCGACGCAGAGGAGTGGAGGAGGAGAGAAGCGGAGGAGGAGAGTAGCGGCGGAGCAGAGGAGCGGAGGAGCAGAGGAGCGGAGGAGGAGAGGAGCAGAGGAGGTACGATGCGGAGGAGGAGAGGAGTGGCAGAGCAGAGGAGCGGAGGAGTAGAGGAGCGGAGGAGGAGAGGAGCGGAGGAGCGGAGGAGCGGAGGGGCAGAGGAGCGGAAGAGCAGAGGAGTGGAGGAGGAGAGGAGCGGAGGAGGAGAGTAGCGGCGGAGCAGAGGAGCGAAGGAGGAGAGGAGTGGCAGAGCAGAGGAGCGGAGGAGCAGAGGAGCGGAGGAGCAGAGGAGCGGCGGAGCAGAGGAGCGGAGGAGCAGAGGAGCGGAGGAGGAGAGGAGCAGAGGAGCGGAGGAGCGATGAGGGTGGAGGAGGGTGGGAGGGTGGGAGGAGTGACGCAGCCCTCCTGCATCCGCGCCTAGTGAGGGTGGGAGGAGTGACGCTGCTGCTGGCAGCAGGGAGCCCGCCGGTGGGAGGAGCACAGGTGCAGCTGCGCCTTGCCGTGGGAGGAGCTAGTGCAAGAAGAGGAGTGTGCGATGGGGCAGGAGGAGGAGTGCAAGGAGAGGTGCAGCAGCGTTCGCCTACCTTCCGCACTCCCTCTGCGCTTCCTCCTCCTCACGCCACTCTTTCCTCCGCCTCTGGCTGTCAGTGGTCGAGCTATAAGACCCACCCCATGTGACAGCTTGTAACTGCCAACGGGTATGTAGGTGAGCTGTAACTGACAACGGGTAAGCAGGTGAGAGGGTAACGGCTGGTATGGTAAGTCCCTGGTGACGACCCTGCAGCTGCCAAATCCCCCCCCCTCTCCCTCTAGCAGCAGCAAGCCCACCCGCCCGGCAGCAGCAGCTGCAGCCCATTGACACGCCCATCGTAGCCACTTCACATGCCACCAATGGCTCATCCAGCATCAGTTTATTGCAAACTCATTTCTGAGACTCCAGCAATCAATTCCGGCTGCTTCGAAGTGCCGAACCGACCTTCCTCCACCGCCCTTCCCTTTGTCCCCTGCCCGTCCTCCCTCTGCCCCTCCCATTCCAGTAGACGCCTCCCCCCGACACCAACCACCAGGACGCCTGCCACCAGCACACAGGTGCACTCAGGCAGACGCCCCGCCACCTGCACTCGAGGGGGGAGGAGGGCGGATGGAAGGGGACCTTGGGAGGACTGCAGGGGGGTAGGAGGGGGATGGAAGGGGACCTTGGGAGGACTGCAGGGGGTAGGAGGGGGGATGGAAGGGGGACCTTGGGCAGACTGCATGGGGGAGGAGGGAGGAACGAAGGGGGACCATAGGCAGACTGCAAGGGGGTAGGAGGGAGGATGGAAGGGGGACCTTGGGCAGATTGCAAAGGGGTAGGATGGAGCTGTGTGAGGGGGAACTTGGGCTGACTACATGGGGAATGGTGGGTGCCTGGACGAGGGAATTTGAGCAGTCTGCAGGGTGAACGTAGGGTGGCTGGAGGGGGGGATATGGGGAGAATGGTCACGGGAGAATGACAGGGGGTAGGCAAGTTGGAGGAAGGAGGGAGACATGGGGAGGACGAACGCACGATTTACGGGAGGAGCCATGGCTTCCTACGGGTGTGTTTGGAGCTTCCCCGCTTGACTGCACTAAGAGCCGTGTTTGTTATTCTATAACTCTGCCGCCGACATCATATTACAAGTACCAGGTTCAGTGGACCTCGCGCATTGTTCGGCACACCATGCAGGTTTAGTAGGTTTGGAGAAGGCACAACTAGGAACACATGACTCATGCATAAATACTTTAAGCAGAAGGGGGCTAGCTGAAACCATGAGCCACAAGAGTGGCCACTGGACACACGTATTGCACGGCCTCATGGTCATGTCTACTGTTTGCTTACCCAACAAACATCCTAAAACCATGTTTATCGTAACACTCAACAACCCAAGACCCATACGGCAAGCGGATACCGTCCCCAACCACCGATGACCCCAGCTGTGTCACCTCCACCTAGGATCTTGAGATGCCCAACCGTTACCACATGCAAGTTGGGGGCACAACCTGCCGTGACAAGGAACCTGCCACAAGAAAACCAAGCAAAGACCCCTGGAATGAACCTCAATCACCTAAAGCATGGGCGACTGCACTAGCATTGTAGGTGATGAGGCGGTCAGGCAACGCTTTACGCATGGTATTGGATTCCGAAAATTGAAGCAATGAGTTGTTTTACACCACATAACATAGGAGCTGCTGGAATAAAAGCGAACACAATTCGTGATATCATACGGCAGATACTGGCAGGTCATCCCACACTCAGACCCCCCCACCCAGCTCCTCCCTTCAAAGCTGTCCCCCTCACGTCCATCCCCTTGGGTGTTTTCCCCATTGTTTCTCTACCCTTCCCAACGTTGCCCCACCCAGCTCTCCCCTTCTTAGCACACCCCCTCTCAGCAATACCCCTGCTGTGCTTCTCTCAAAGCAGTCTTCACCATCTCTTAGCTCTTCCCTGCCCATCTGACCACCACTCAGCTCTTCCCCTCCTAGCTCTTCCCCTCCTAGCTCTCACCCTCCTAGCTCCCCCCTCCTAGCTCACCCCCTCGCAGCTTTCCCCCTTGCAGCATTCACCCTCTCAGCTCTCCCACTCTCAGATCACCCCCTCTCCGTTGTCCCCCACTCATCTTTCCCCCACTCATCTTTCCCCCTCTCATCTTTCCCCCACTCATCTTTCCCCCTCTCATTTTTCCCCCTCTCATCTTTCCCCCTCTCATCTTTTACCCTCTTAGCTTTCCCCCACTTAGCTTTCCGCCTCTCAGCTTTCCCCCAATTAGCTTTCCCCCTCTTAGCTTACCCACTCTCAGCTTTCACCCTCTCAGCTCTCCCACTCTCAGCTCACCCCCTCGTAGCTTCCCCTCTCTCAGCTTCCCCCCTCTCAGCTTCCCCCCTCTCAGCTTTCCCCCTCTCAGCTTCCCCCCTCTCAGCTTCCCCCCTCTCAGCTTTCCCCCTCTCAACTGTCCCCCTCTCAGCTTTCCCCCTCTCAGCTTTCCCCCTCTCAGCCTTCCCCCTCTCAGCTTCCCCCCTCTCAGTTTTCCCCCTCTCAGCTTTCCCCCTCTCAGCTTTCCCCCTCTCCACTCTCCCCCTCTCAGCTCATCCCCTCTCTGCTTTCCTCCTCAGTTCTCCCTTTCCCATCTTTGCCCCACTCAGCTTTCCCCCTCTTAGCTCAACCCCTCCCAACTTTCTTCCTCCCACCTTTCCCACCCCCCCACTTGGCATTCCACCCGTCAGTTGTCCCGCCCTTTCCTTTTCCCGTCTGTGCTACACCCCGCCCTCCATCTAGGCAAGCGCATTTGGTAGCAAGGCTACTACTTACCGGTGGCAACCAATGCAGGGGTTGAATTAGCCATGGTGGCGCAACGGTGACCCAGTGGCATCGCACCATTCAGCGCACTTCGGCAATCCATGTGCATGAGAGCGGGGAGGGGTGGGGCATGTGGAAGTGGCATAGTAGTATAGCAAGTCCGCCATTGTCGCCTTCTTTGCTCCTCCCATGAGCGCAGACAGTCCGCCTAGCTGGACACAGACTGCTGGCCTCACGTGTTTTGAAACACCATGCATGGGTTTGTCATGCGCCTGGCCCAACACTGCCGCCGGATGGTCCTTGTTTGGGTCTGCGGCTGCCTCGCCCCTGTTGGGTTGCGTTTGGGGAGAGAGATGGTTAGGGCGGGGGTTTGGGGCTGGCCTTGATAGGGGTGACACGGGGTGGCCCTGTGGGGGATGCTTTGACACGCCAGACCTCTCTTAACCCTTACCTCCCTGCCCCACCTTGACATACAAAAAATGCTAACCTCAAACACATCTCGATGGCCATGCCTTGACTCCCCCCTCAGTTCCCACATAACCCACCTCCCTGCTGCACCTTGCTGCTCCTCTCGGCTGTACCCTTGCTCATCTCCCTGCAGCACCTTGCTGCTCCTCTCGGCTGTACCCTTGCTCACCTACCTGCCCCACCTAGGAGCTTCTCTCGGCTTCCCCCTTGCTCACCTCCTTGCCTCACCTTGACACTCGTCTCTGCTTCCCCCCTGCTCCCCACTCCTGCCTCACCTTGACACTCCTCTCTGCTTCCCCTGCTCCCCACTCCTGCCTCACCTTGACACTCCTCTCTGCTTCCCCCTGCTCCCCCCTCCTGCATCACCTTGACACTCCTCTCTGCTTCCCCCCTGCTCCCCCCTCCTGCATCACCTTGACACTCCTCTCTGCTTCCCCCCTGCTCCCCCCTCCTGCATCACCTTGACTGTCACAGGATCGAATGTCCCGAGGAAAGGTTTCCTCAATGTTGCACTATCAATCAGTACAAGGGGCTTTTATACTTCCAGATTACATCAGGTAACCAGGTTTATCCTATCCAAAGGGAATAGACCGTTCTAGAAATAGAATCACCCTGCGTATAGCCACGCGAGGCTATTGGCTTTAAGGGATTACGGCAGGATTACGCTAGATATAGCGCGCCAGTACATCCCGAGCCTGGTCGGTGATATAATTATAATAACAGGATAAACCAAAGGATAATGGAAAATGAGGAATAGGAAACCAAATGAAATGAGATAAAGACCAAATGAATGAGGATAAAAAGAGGAATGAAAGAGAAAGGAAATATGGAAAGGGGAAATTGGTGTAACGGGGTCGTACTCTCACATTGACACTCCTCTCTGCTTCCCCCCTGCTCCCCTCTCCTGCATCACCTTGACACTCGTCTATGCTCCCCCCTTGCTCACTTCCCTGCACACCCTCCTCTCTGCTTTCCCCCCTGCTTTCCCCCCTGCTCCCCCCTCCTGCATCACCTTGACACTCTTCTCTGCTTCCCCCCTGCTCCCCACTCCTGCCTCACCTTGACACTCCCCTCTGCTTCCCCCTCGCTCCCCACTCCTGCCTCACCTTGACACTCCTCTCTGCTTCCCCCCTGCTCCCCCTTCCTGCATCACCTTGACACTCCTCTCAGCTCCCCCCTTGCCTGCCTCCCTGCCTCACCTTGACACTCCTCTCTGCTTTCCCCCTGTTCCCCCCTCCTGCATCACCTTGACACTCCTCTCTGCTTCCCCCCTGCTCCCCTCTCCTGCATCACCTTGACACTCGTCTATGCTCCCTTCTTACTCACCTCTCAGCCTCCGCTTGACACTCCCCATGGCTCCCCCCTTGCTCACCTCCCTGCCCCACCTTGACACCCCTCTCAGCTCCCCCCTTGCTCATCTCCCTGCCTCGCCTTGACACTTCTTCCTGCTCCCCCCTTGCTCATCTCCCTGCCTCACATTGGGAACGTGTGAGGGGTACAAAGCACTGCGCGTTAATCCGTGCGGGGCCCCATCGTGCTTGGTGGTATGCAGCGCCCTCGCATGTATGGTTCGCGCCTATGGCCGGTGGCGCTTAGTGATTTTTGCGTCGCGCTTTGGGCGGCCGTCCCGTGGTGTTTTTTTTTCCCCTTCTATCTTTCCAGCCTGGCTCTCATTTTTGTCTCCCTCGCGGGCTTGCAAACGCTCACCTGTGTCCCTGCGGTTTCTGCCGTTTGCGGGCCATGTGCGCTTCGGGACCGTTTCCGCGATCAGCGCTAGTCTTTGCGACGCGCTGCCTTCCTGCGTTATGAAGGGCCGCGACTATCCTGTCTCCTATGCCTTCACAACCTTTTGCGCTCTTTGTATGCCGCTCGTTCCTTACATGAGCTTCCCAATGCCTAGTTAATATGCTGTGTGCTGCTGCGTGCAGAGTGACGTGGCGGCTGGTGGTATTGTCCTCTCCCTCACAACCTTTTTCGTTGCTCACCAAATCCATTTTGTGTTGCCAAGTTACCCACCGTTTGCTACCCTGCTTGACCCCGCAGTTTGCAGTTTGTCATGCTCGTTGTTTTTGGTGTTCTCCTTCCCCCCCCCCCCCCCCCCGCCCTGTACCTTGCGCGCCCCTCCTGTCGCAAAAGCGACTGCAGCTTTACTCAAATATTCAATTAAATCATTACATGAAACCACAAACGTCATGTCAGGATGGCCGAGTTGGTCTAAGGCGCCAGTTTCAGGTACTGGTCCGAAAGGGCGTGGGTTCGAATCCCATTCCTGACAATGGTGTATCTTTTCTCTCTTTGCTGTCCTGTTCGTGTCTGGTGTTTGTAGGTCTTTATCTGGTGGTGGTGTCAATCATTTCGTGGAAACTCATCAGGACTGACGATATAGTGGTTACCGCTTGGCGAACAAATCTTCCTGCGAGCGACGGAACCGATCGCATCATATTGCAGCAGAAGAACCTTCGCGAAGCCTGGAGCTGTGATTGTTTGCTCGGCTACTAATTTCGAAATCCACAGCAATGGCTGCCTGGCTGCACGAAGATACTGTAAATGAGCCAGCCGTCCGAATCACACAGACTCGACCACTTTTCCTTGGCTTGAGGCATGTCAGCTGTTTCCCCTATCGAGCTCTCTCGCTCTAACCTCCTTTATGACAGAACACGCCACGTCGTCACTTTCCGACCAATCTTCCTACATAAAGTGACCTTCTAGTTCATTCTAATTGCGACTACTGGGACAGATGCAGCCAGTGAGCGCTCTCTCGCGCTTTCCATGGTCAACACCAGTAGTGTACCCCCCCTTCCAACATCACCTACGTCGTAGATATTTTTCCGCCATCCACAAATATCGACCAGCATCAATCGAAACAATCGAGCACACAAATATCGATTCCAGCTGAGTCTACGCTGCTCCGTGGCTCTGACTCGACCACGAAGAAGCTTTCCGCGTCATGCAACTTGGGAAATCCCACTGTCGTTTTAGTCGCCAGATATTCTCCCCCTCCTCTTCCGCTGCTCTTCCGCTGCTCTTCCGTTGTTTTGTCGAGCAATTAGTCTCTTGAGCGCCCGATGGTGTCTGCCTGCTTTGGGTACACAACAGAGCTCAGCTCTGCTGCTGCCAGCACGGAATCAGTGATTTCTTAGGAGCCGCTGAACCTTTCTGTAGCCGCCATGGGGTGTGTTTGCACCATGAAGCTCCGTAGGCCTCACACCTCTGAAACCGTACAAAACTCCTTCATCTCCACAACCATGCTCCCGCCAACCACACCTGTTCACTTCCACGGAGCCTGATTTTCTGGACACTGAATGGGAGATTCTAGACAGCGTCTCTCCAGCGATTTCCAGCCCTTTGTGGACGGTAACGGAAACCGTCAACGCTTACGTCTTCTGCGTGGAGCAACGCGGTCTTCCGCTGGAGCGCGTGCAAGTTCTGCTGGACAGACGCGTAGGCCACGGGCTCGTTGACAGGCATTGGAAGGAAGAGAACGACCCTATCGGTAGCAGATCATCCGACCAGGAAAATGACTGGTCGCAGCAGTCGCCCACCCAGCAGTCGCAATGGTCGCAGGCGTCGCCCAGGCATGGCACGGATTCCGGCAGCTTGGAAGCAGCGCAGCTAACCATCGTGTGCGCGTTTCCCTCCGCTTCTCACACCGCAGACAGGGCAGGCTCCCTCTGGACGGCTGGCCGGCGATTCAGACTGCCACCTGACGCCGTAGCAGAGGAAACGGCGGCCATGCAGACGGTGAGAGGATCGTTGGTCGTCAACGTCCCTCGCTCCCCGTCGAGAAAACCCAGCACTTCGTGTGCTCATCCTTCTTCGTACCCTTCTGGAAAGTCCTACGGTCCAAGATTTGGCAGGTGGACTGTACACGTGGCATCAGCAGCGTCATCGTTAACCGCCTCGTCATCATCACATCCAGAGAAGCAGTATCAATCATCCCCCAACTCGTTTCAGCATTTTGATCCTGAGTTGCTCCAAAGTCTGCAAGTATGAGGTGTGATGCAGCCAGGTGCTTCAAGCATTGTGATGGCATCAGCCTGCATTGGGCTTTTCCTCCTGTACAGTTCTTTTCCCTCCTACTAGATTACCAGGTGCGAACTGTGTACCAAGTTCAGTTGAGCGTAGTGTTTTCCAAGCATACGGTACTAGCAGAATATGGAGTTAATAATGAAAAGATGCCTGAGCTGGAATAAAGAACTGAAGCCAGTCTCCTCGCTTCATGAAGCTCACATACTGCACAGATGGTGCACATAAATAAACCCATCCAACAGACTAGTTGACTACGCAGTTAAGGTCACAAAACAAATGAATTATTCTGCGTGTGCCATCGAAACAGGTGATCCTCCAGATAGCCCACCCATGAAACCACCAGCCATGCACACTGCAGAGTTGCTCCTGATGCGATCTGGACGAAACAGCCAACCTATCAGCCAAGGAAACGTGGCAGCAGCACTGCAGACAGCACCAAGGGCATCATGTTACCAAATGGTGGCGTCGCGTTGCACCTCTTGCCCCTAGATGGGAACAAACACCAATTGCCAAATAGACAACACAGAAGATAGGAAGGGAAAAAAACTATGACCATCAAAGCAGGTAACTGTCGCCAGAGTGGTGGAGGGAAGCTTCGTGGGCGCCTGTTTCAGCTGCATGAAAAAGCAGCAGCAGCAGCAGCAGCAGCAGCAGCCATCAGAGTAACTATGACAAAAGGCCATCACGAGCAGCAGAAACAGCTGCTTAGGCTAGGAAAGGTCATCATGTGGCTGCTGAACGAACGCTGATATGGCACCACAAAACCAGTGTACAAATCTACAGCCGAGCCGAGGATCCTACAAAGAGTGGGCATCAGTACCGACAGAATGGCTTCCTTACCTTCAGTCCACTCACCGTCTCACATCCAGCGACATCACCTTACAGCCCCCCGTGACACATTACGACGTCAAAATGAAAAAAATGGCATGGCCCTGCCTGCCACCTATTCTGTCGCCACCTGTTCTCCCTGCCACCTATTCTGCCTGCCACCTGTTCTGCCTGCCACCTGTTCTGCCTGCCACCTATTCTGCCTGCACCTGTTCTGCCTGCCACCTACCACATGCTGAAGAAAGGATGCTGCCCCCACCTAAAAGCACAAACAAGCCCCGTGGCGATCTGCTTTCCCCGGAAGAACCTCAGATTGCATGCCACCGCCTCAAAAACATTGCAAGACCTCAGATTCTTGATTCCATCCCTCGCTTCCGAGCAACTTCTTCTACTGATTCACCTTCACTGTCCACTGTTCCCACTAACACATATTGTTCTCTAACCACCCCCCCCCCTCCCCCCCCCACCCCTATAGATACCGTAATCCTTCCTACCCGCTTCCCCACATCACCTGGAAAATCGGCTGCTCTGAAATCACCGCTTGTTCTCAGCACAACAATCACTGCTGCTGAAGGGGCAGCAGCGGCGTCAACACCGTTCACTGCTGTAATACCTCGCCTCCCTTGAAATAGTGTATTCCGTCCCACCCTCCTTCCCTCCCCCCTCACCTATCACGTGATCACCGCTTGTTCTCAGGGAAGTGCTGCCTGAGTATCTGCAGCAGCGTCTTGGCCTCCGAGTTCTCAGCCTCTGTGATACCGTACTCTCATCCTCCTTCAAACAATGTCCTGAACCACCGTATCCTCACCATCCCTCCCTCACCTATCACGTGATCACCGCTTGTTCTCAGCCCAGTGCTGCCTGAGGATCTGCAGCAGCGTCTTCGCCTCCGAGTTCTCAGCGCTCCTCAATACTGCATATTATCGTGCTATCCCTCGCCACCCTTTCCCCCCACAATCTCACCTTTCACCGCTTGTTCTCAGCGCAGTGCTGCCTGAGTATCTGCAGCAGCGTCTTCGCCTCCGAGTTCTCAGCGCTCCTCAATACTGCATATTATCGTGCTATCCCCTCGCCACCCTTTCCCCCCACAATCTCACCTTTCACCGCTTGTTCTCAGCCCAGTGCTGCCTGAGGATCTGCAGCAGCGTCTTCGCCTCCGAGTTCTCAGCGCTCCTCAATACTGCATATTATCGTGCTATCCCCTCGCCACCCTTTCCCCCCACAATCTCACCTTTCACCGCTTGTTCTCAGCGCAGTGCTGCCTGAGTATCTGCAGCAGCGTCTTCGCCTCCGAGTTCTCAGCGCTCGTCTGCGACACGCGCACCAGCGACGGCAACACGCCTTCCGCCAGCAGGTCCCCGTACGTCACAAAACCCATGGCCGCCAGCTGCAGCAGCACCGACGCCGCGTCCTCCTTCACCCGCGCCGACGACCCCTCGTCCAACAGGTCCACGAACATGGTGAGCCCGTCGCACTCCACAATCGACTGACACCCCTCGGGGAACCGAGCCAGGTTGGATAGCACCGCCGTGGCTTTCTCTTCCAGGCCGGGAGGGGAGGGTCGGAAGAGTCCCCCGAACCACACATCCCTAGGAGGACCTCGACTGCTCCAGCTTTAAGGATGTCTCGGGCGCAGCGGACTTGGGTAGAGAGGGTGAAGAGCGCCAGCGCCGCATCCTTCTTCGCACGCACCGTGCCGGTTTTGAGGAGGGAGATAAGTGCGGGGATGGCGCCTGACGCCCGCACCATGAGCTTGTGGTCATCCTCCTTAGAAAGCGCGAACAGAGTGGCAGCCGCGTTGCCTTGGGAGGCTGAAGTACCGTGGTTCAACATCCCTACCAGGGCTGGGATCCCCCCAGCTCGCACGATCTCCCCTGACGCGTTCCAGTGGAGGGAGAGATTCATGAGGGCAGCAACGGCGTGTTCTGCTGCCTCCAGGTCGTCCGATTCGATCACCTCGACCAGCGGCTCGATCCCCCCCAGCTGCACCAGCTGCGCTTTGTTTTCCGGGCAGCCCTTGATCGCTGCCCGGATGTCTCGCACCGCTGCCCGCCGGTCCACACCTGACCCGAAGTTGAGCGCCTCCACCATGGGGTTCATGTCGCGGCGGACCGGCGCACCGCCCGGGTCATCATTGCTGCCGCCCGGCATGCTCATCATGCTGCACGTGCTGCGCGCGCTGCTGTTCCGCTGCAGCCTGGGCACGCCTGTAGCGCCGCCCCCGGCTGTAGCAGCAGGCGGCTGGGACGGCTGGGGGGGCAGCTGGGGGGGAGGGGTCATGGGGGGGGTACTGGCATGGCCATAGCCCATATCAACATCTTGCATAGTCGGGTTCGTAGTCGCCTTTCTAAACGCCCTGCCGGCCGAATGGGTGCTCTCCACGTCCACGTCATGCAGGTGCGGCGACGGGTTGGTCGGCGACTTTCGGAACGTTCTGCCGGCCGACATGGCTTCAATGTCCGCCTGCCACTGCGGGATGGATGACGTCAGCCGCTCTAGCCCCTGCCCCTGCCCCATACCCTGCCCTAAACCCTGCCCATGCCCTCCCCCATATCCGCCCCCGCCCCCACCGCCGCCAGCAGCAGCGGCAGCAGCGCCAGCCGCGTTTTTTAGCACGCCTTTCCGGAGCCCCTTAGGCCTCCCCCCGCTGCTGCTGCTAGGCGCCAGCCCCTGCCCCGCCCCCCTCCACGGCTCTCCCCCACTCGGCCCGCCCTGCCCGTACTCCCCGCCGCCGAACGCGGCGCCCGAGGTCCTGGGGCGCTCGTCGCCGGGGTTAGCGGCAAACTGGCGCCTGCCCCCACTGGCGCTGGCGCTGCTACCGTCGGTCGACTCCATGCCGAAGTGCCGCCGCCCACCCGTGCTGCTCCCGCTACTGTTGCTACTCACGCTCGGGACCCGTCCATGCCCCACCGACCCCGGACGCTGCGGCAGCGGGGACATGTTTCCGCCTACCCCGCCTCCTCCTCCTCCCACCAGCATTCTCCCCCCTGGCGCCAGGTGCTCCCCGCGCCCCCCGTACTCCTCGTCCCCCTGCCCCCTCCTCCGCCTGCCGCCCTGTCCGCGTCCCGTTCCGACTTTTTCACCTTCCTGCCCGTTTCCGACTGGGACCGCATCTTCGCGCTGCTGCGGAGCGACGGCGGCGCGGCTTCCCCCTCGTCCCCCACCGACGGGGACGGCCTTAGCCCCGCGCCGCCCCCTTTCACCCCATCCGCTCCTATCTCCGATAGTAGCTTGTCCCGCTGCTTCCTCGTCATCTTCATACTCCGACCTTTCATAAGATCCGATATCTTCCCCGGACCTCCCCCTCCTCCGCCGCCGCCCGCGCGCCCTAACTTAAGAGCGGAAATCCCCGTGGAAAGCTTTCCCCCCACGTCATCGTCATCATCGTCGGCGGGGGAGCCGAACCCGTCCTCGCCTCGCGGGAAGTACGACAGGTGCCGCTGCAGACCGCCGCCGGCCTTCTTAGGCTTGCTCCCCTGCGCGGCTATACTCTCCCATACGGCTTTAATATCCGTCGGCCCGTCGCCTACCTGACCGTCTCCGCCGCCCAGCGCCGCCATTTTCTTCGATAGGTTCGACGGAAGCGGGCTCACGGACCTCGCCCGAGCCTTAGCACCGGCGTCCGAACCGCTACCGCTTCCCGAGCCTGACGCCTTCCGCCCTCTCTCCACCTTGCTCTCCTCCCCGCCGTCCGCGCTCTTCTTCTTAACCACCTTTTTCTTTCGCACGGCGCCGTCGGACAGGCGTTCGAGGTCCTGTTCGCCTGGGCCGGTCTCCGATCGAGGCGCCATTAGTGAAGGGGGAGGTGGTGTTTTCGGCCGCAACTGGCTGGTTTTCGAGGAGCTTTTTACCGTGGATTTTTTCGCCGGGGCAGTACTGGGACGGGCAGCTGAAGAATGGCCGCCCGAACCTTGCGCCATCCAATCAGAGATCATGCTTTTCAGGGCGAAGTTCGGGCAGAAGTTTGTATGGTCGATCCGCACGCCAGACTTGGGGCACGTCCGCTTACCCTCTGCGAACCACCTCTCGATTGAAGCACGCTCGTACGTCTGGCCGGATGCGATTATAACGGGGTCAGTCATGACGGTTAGCGAGAGCGGACACATAAACTCTTCGGGTATTGTCGGTCCGTTTGACTCTGCCTTCTTATGACCACTGCTGCTGCTACTACCCCCGCTCTCCTTCTCTTTCTTTTTTCTCGTCGGCTTCGCTTCCCGTTCCTTTTGCGGTCTTCGCCGCTCCTGCTCTCCTACGTGGTCATCCTCTTCCCACTGCTGCTCCTGATGGTGCTGCTGATGCCGCTGCTGCCGTTGCTGTCTATCTACAGTGTTTTCTCGCTCCCAACTAGACCCTCTGGGTTCTTCGTCCCAGCCGTTGCCGTGGTTGTCCTGGTAATCGTCATCGCGATGGTAGTGATCGGACGATTGTGACGCCCTCTCCCAACTGTTGCAGGTTGCTGGATCCATGTTACAAGGTAACAGCTACTGCTCTGGTCTGGGAACGCAGAAGATAAGGAAATTGAGGATAACACGAAAGAAAATAATATTATGTTCAAGATTGCGACTTTGTTAAATCTCCTGCGAACAGCCGTTCCCGATAGATCTGTATTGGGAAGATGCATAATTAAACTCTGTCGCGGAAGTTGCAATGGACAGAAAAAGGGGATATATGCAATTGGAAATTATCCTAAAAGAATCTGACCAGGTAACTCCCGAGTTACTTGAGACAACTAAATGCAGGATACAATACGACAAGCGGGTATTGCTCGTTAAATGCTTGACTGCCAGACAATGGCGAGATCGAGTCACTTACGAGTCTAACGTCGTTAAGGAGGATGTTAAGTCGCTGAAGCTTTTGTGAACGTCGTTAAGGAGGATCAAATAACTGCAATGGATGCATGGAGGAGCCTCGAAACAAGCGGAAACCGAGGAACTACTGGAAAACTACGAGTATGGCACCGTATATGCTTTCAACCGTCGAGCGCTGCCTGCTTAGAAGGGCCTTTACACAGATCGTTGCCCTAGACCTTGCACCTACTTCTTACACGAAATCGCCATCCACGTCAAGAAGCCCTAGGCTGCACCTAAACCACAAGCTTCGCAACGCATGAGGGTACTATCGGAACTTTTCTCCGCAACACAAACGCTTCTGGCGGAACATTCTGGACCACGAAGTACGAAAGACCTAGGAAAAAGGATGCCAGGGAGAACCTGATAAGCCTTCGCTGTGGCGTTAGGAGACGTTCTAGGGTTACAGAATTGAGGAGGAAGGTCTCAGTGCTTGCTCGTGTGCCGTGCCGAATGGTGCTGCTGATGTCATTCTGGCCCGATCTCTTAAGTTGCCGGTACTGCTGGTTCGAAACTAAAAGCAGTGGTTGTGAGTGCCGGAGAGAGGTTGACGAAAATAAGCGCGATGGTTTAAAAGTCGTGTGGTAACCCGCCGATGAGGGGGATGCGATGAGTCGGATGGATGGGCGGACGAGATGAGCCGAGGCTGTCAGCTTCTGTTGCAGGTTTCGTGGTTTGGTGGGGAACCTTGGGATTGGCGGGAGAAGCGGGCAGAGGAACATGGGCAGATGGAACGCGTCGGATTTGTTGAAGTGAAAGTTTGAGACGAAGGGTGGTGAGGGAAGAGCAGATTGGTTGGTGGTTGAGAGCTGCTCGGGCAGTTCTGAGTAAGTAGGAGGGGATAGCTGGCGGGCAGATTATCGATCAAATCCTGGGAGGTTGGTGGAGGCGACAAGAGCGACCACGACAAATCGGGGATCTCCAAAGACACTGATGCCTCGGTACACAGTGATACTTCCATTCAATCTTGTGGCAAACAAATGTTATTCTGTGCACCACGTAACATACTCCACACATATCCACCAATTCTATTAACACTTCAATAGCCTCGGACATATACCCTGCACCACTCCGGCAGTCAAAAATTGTGTTGCATCAATAAATATGTGGGCTGCAATCAACCCATTCAATAGTTGGCCAATGGTTTGGCTAACATTGATCCGCCCAGGAGTAGCATTCTTGTTGAACTTGGACCACTTGAAGTCTTCATACTTCTTCCCCACTCCAGTAAGCCCAAGAGCACTCTCTGCGGGGAATTGTCTGTCTCCTTCACTCCAATATCCGTTGACTTGAACCCCTTCGCCGGGGCCCGTCCACAGCAACCAGCTCGCCGTCATATGATAAGAACTGGATCACCGTGGCAGCGCCATTCGTCGGCTGCGATACAAGTGCCATGCCGTCGGACGGTCCGTTCTGCAAGCCGCCTTGAGCGTACATGTTGCCATACACCCACAAAGCCATTGATGTTGGTCGGAGGGGAGGCTGAACTTGCTGAGAGGAAGCTTGCCATAGGTCTTCCCATTGGCCCCGTTATAGAGGTAGATGGAGAGGGTTGAGGGGTCCACCCCTGGACTCACAACCACCTCGATAAACTGCGATGGGAAGGTGGGAAGGGAAGTGCAGAATGAAATGGGCATTCCTGAAGAAAAGCGAGGCAACAGTGATCCAGTCACGCATACTGGTCCCCTGATCCACTCCCCACCCTCCCAACACCCCAATCTCCTCCCTCCACACCCAGCTACCCACCTCGTTCTTGTCGGGCCCTTCGTTGCTGTAGTGGATCTCATTGAACCACGCCTTGGCCTGCCCCCCAGGCACACGCGGTGCAGCAACCCCCCCTGCCCCGCCTGCTGCCGCTCCCGAGCCTCCCCCCACTGGCGCTGCCACTGGCGGCGCTGCTCCTGGCAGGCTGAAGCCGGTCCCCGAGCCTGCACCCAAGGCTGCTCCCGAGCCTACAGCTGGTACCGAGGCTGGCACGGCGCCCAGATGAGGGGGACGAACTCAGGGTGGTCGACGAAGGGATTGCGGTTGTGCTGGTAGAGCGAACACACCCGGTTGTTGCGCGTGGCCTCCAGGGAGGACGGCGGGTCGACAGAGTGCCACTTGAGGAGAGGGGACAGCAGACCCATTTGGCCCTCAGCTGTGATGTAACGGGTTGGATGAAAGGGGTAGAGAGGGGGAGGGGGCCGGAAGGGAGAGGAGAATGGGGAGCTTGTAACGGAAGAGAAGGGGTTGCGGCTGTCCTGGGTAGAGCGACGCAGTTGTTGCGCACAGCCTCGGGGGGAGGACGGCCGGTCCAGCGAGTGCCACTCGAGGAGAGGGGTCGGCAGACCCATTGGCCCTCAGCTGTGATGCGAACGGGTTGGATGAAAGGGAGGGAGGGGTGGGCTTGGGCCGGAATGGAGATGTGAGGGGGTGGGGAGAGTGGTCGAGTCGAGAAACGAAGAGGAGAAAGAGGAGAAAGGAGATCTTTTCGTGGATGCGCAGGGAAGGGGATGTGAGGGGGAAAGGACAGAAGCATGTGAACTGAGCAGTTGGACGAGCAAAGGGATGGAGTGGAGCAGGAGACAGCATGACATACCTAGGGGTTGTCAGTGGGTATGGCATACCGATTTTGGGGTTGTCAGAGAGCTCGAGGTCCAATTCGCCAGGCACAGAGCCGTCGTATCTGACAGCCATGTAGAGCAGCGCACGCGCTATGTCGCCCCGCATCTGAACCAGAGATGCACAAAAAGAAAGGATTGATGAGAGAATCAATGGCAGAGTCAGGCAAGCACTGCGGCTGACTCTGCGGTTTTGTGCACTCATGTGTATGACTCTGAACGCATATGGGTGTGGGGGGGGAAAGAGGAGGAGGGACAGGGAGGCAGAGTGAGCAAATGAGGGGAGGGAGAGTCGAAGGAGTTAGCAACGGAAGCAAGAGAGGAAAGCACACACCTCAGAGGGGGGAGTCCAGACGTCCTTATTGGGTGGCCGTATCTGCTGCTGCCTCCCTATTGGCGGGCACGAGACAGCTGTCATCCGTGGATGAGCACTCGCCAAACCACTTGTTGCCTCGGGCAGAGTTCACTGAATGTGACAATAGGATGGGGGAAATGAAATGAATTCTTCTGTGACAATAGTGAAGGACGAAATGTGGCCAAGGTGGTCGGTGTGACAATCCACATAATACAGCATTGACATCATCATCATCAGAGGCAGCAACAGCAGCGGCGCCAGCAGCAGCAGCAGCAGCAGCAGAGCAGCAGCAGCAGCAGCAGCAGCAGCAGCAGCAGCAGCAGCACAGCAGCAGCACAGCAGCAGCAGCAGCAGCAGCAGCAGCAGCAGCAGCAGCAGCAGCAGCAGCAGCACCAGCAGCAGCAGCAGTCCACGGCACAAGACCTACCATGACGTCGGCAGGTCTCAGATTGTGGAGGTCGGAGAACTCGGGTCGGCCCTGAGTGAGACCATAGGGAGCGAGGCCACAGATGCTCCCCTGATAGATGGGGCGTGGGGGTTTGGGGGGTGGGTGGGTTGTTGAGACAACGCCTTTCAGCCAACTCAATTTTAGGGATTTCCTTTTTTTGGGGGGGGGGGGGGGGGATGACACAGTGTTATGCTGAATTCACCCACCGATTCTAGACAGAGCGTGCCGGCGCAACAAGGGCAGCCAAGCACCACTCACTGTTCCAGCCTTCCGGCGTGGCTTGTGTGTCCTTGGGCACTGCTCTGCGCGTGTAGATCTCCACACTGGACAAGGGAACACGGGAAACAAACAGCGACACCGAGAATAAACAGTGGCACACAGAATCAACAGTGACACAGAGATCAACAGTGGCACACAGAATCAACAGTGGCACACAGAATCAACAGTGGCACACAGAATCAACAGTGGCACACAGAATCAACAGTGGCACACAGAATCAACAGTGGCACACAGAATCAACAGTGGCACACAGAATCAACAGTGGCACACAGAATCAACAGTGGCACACAGAATCAACAGTGGCACACAGAATCAACAGTGGCACACAGAATCAACAGTGGCACACAGAATCAACAGTGGCACACAGAATCAACAGTGGCACACAGAATCAACAGTGGCACACAGAATCAACAGTGGCACACAGAATCAACAGTGGCACACAGAATCAACAGTGGCACACAGAATCAACAGTGGCACACAGAATCAACAGTGGCACACAGAATCAACAGTGGCACACAGAATCAACAGTGGCACACAGAATCAACAGTGGCACACAGAATCAACAGTGGCACACAGAATCAACAGTGGCACACAGAATCAACAGTGGCACACAGAATCAACAGTGGCACACAGAATCAACAGTGGCACACAGAATCAACAGTGGCACACAGAATCAACAGTGGCACACAGAATCAACAGTGACAGATAGTAAACAGGGTGCAAGAGAGGGTACCTGCCCACAATATAGCAACTCACACGTCACGGGACTTGGCAGGATCTGACTGGTCCGCAGCATCGAGAATCTTGAGAGCATCCCATGCCTGTCAGTATTAGAACAGTGTGTGCAGGGTTGGTGTGAAGGGTTGGTATGAAGGTAAGAGTAATTGCAGAGGCGGCTGGTCTGTAGTTGGAACGAGATCTGAAAGGAAAGAGTATATGTAAGAGGTGCAGGTGCTCCTTCAGTACTACCTCCCCCAGTGATCCATTACCCCCAGTACCACCTACCTCAGTGTAGGTGTACACTTTATGACCCTTTATAATATCGTGCAGCTTCGCCTTAAGAGCCTCCCCCTTGAGCCCCTGCGTGCCTGCATAGTACTGCTCCACGTCCTCGCACGGAAACTTCGTGGCAGCTGCTTCGGCTGACCATGGTGCGAAACAAGCTGCTGCTGTCGGCGTGAGGGTGATGAGGGCTGCTAGCAGCGCGGCAGTCGCCTTGGAAACAGCTGGGGAGAAACGGAAAAGAGGGGGGGGGGGGGGGAGGGAGGGGAGGAGAGGAGGTAGTGGGGTGAGTTGCAAAGCAAACCCCTGCTATCGGCGAGAGGGTTACGAGGGCTGCTAGCAGTGCTGCTGTCGCCTTAGACGCAGTTGGAGAGAAAACGAAAAGGGGAGGATCTAGTGGCAGTGAGGAAGGAATCGACCTGTGGTCTTTTCCGTGCTAATAGTACCCATTCCAATTGACCTGGCTATACGGCAGGGCTTTAAGCTCGTCGTCGACAGCCTCCACATTTTCATTGTCTCATTCCCATAGTCGTCGGTTCCACTTCCTCGTCAACGCCATTGACGATTTCGGGTAAACGACCGCCGGCTAGTCGTTGATGACGACTCTTCGGCTAGTCGCTGATCTCCTGGTGACGGTCCACCTAAACAACCATTGCTGGTTATCCCAGCATTTCAGCCGAACCAAAAAACACTACTCGGGAAGCGCGCGGAGACACGCATCCTGGCCACAAGTTGTCATGGCCGACTGCTGGAATGTAACCAAAGGGAAGGGGGACCCATGTTGTTCATTTATCCTTACATGCACGGACCGACCAAACTTCGATCTTGGCGTGGTTTGGCTTACCTCTCTGGCCAGTCGTCAAAGATTCCTGGAGAGCCTCCAGCCGTCCGTTGCAATGGTTCCCTCGCTCACTCTCCGTCGCGTCCGTGCGAGACGACGACGCCGATTCGAAGCCGTGGGAGCGGCAAAGAATCTGTCCCGCTGGCCTGGTCCTCCGGGAAGCCCGGGTGGTCGCACGGCCTCCACGGTCTGAGACTGGCGCTGCGGGTGAGGTGGATAGGGAGGTTCTGCTGGCTAGCGGAGAGCTTCGGTGGAGGAAATGTGTCTGGGGTCGACCTCCCTGCGGAATGGAGTGGAGGACGGAGGGTTGAGGAGTGAGTGAGAGAGAGATGAGTTGGCGAGAGGCGAAGGGGTTAGACAAAGTTACGCGAGAGTCCGGAGAATGGCGAAGGACAGCATGGAACTTACGGCTGTGAATCCGCGAGCACTCATCAGCGAGCAATCGGACGCCAGCAATGCCATTCCGAGTCAGCGAGCCTAATAATTCAGCAGAGCCGCCGCGGAAGTAGCGCGTGAATCTAGTGTCAGGGGTCAATAGCAGAGACGGAGGCTGGTGCGACTAGAAAGAATCCGGCTGAGGTCGTTGAGGTCTGATAAGAACACACCACCTGGTTTTGAGGCGTTTTAACTCTACGGATGAACCCAAGGAGAGAATGGAAAGGATTGTGGAATTCTCGAGAATGTGTCTCGAGAATGGATTATGGCTTGGCGTCGCAAAGCGGCTTGGAATCCAGACCAGCGTGGCACCATACTTCGGCTCCACCGCAAACGCTGGTTCGGCACCACACCTTCGGCTTTGCTCCGTACTCTCGCCCCTGGAGCCACCATCACCAACATTGGGTTCGGCCTCGGGAATTGTGCGCCACCACCCATGGGATTCGGCATTTCGGGTTTCGTTCAAGATGACCCTTGGCGTAAATGATTGGCTGAATGCTGTGGCCCTCTCTTCTCATTGGCCAGCTCGTCGTCTCGAGTGAATGTGGCCCTTCATCCTGGCATACGTGAAACAAGCAAGCTTCCTCTCCCAAGTCTGACGGAACTAGGCTCGTTCTGCAAGCCAGGCTGGTTTTCCTGTCAAACCTCAGCCTCGGAAAATGGTCCCTCCCCGTTTCAGAAGAGAGAGACGAATGCATCCTCCATGCCCCATGGCTGGACAGACAGGCAGGCACTGTATCAGAATCTCCTGCCATTCCTCCCCTCATTTCTCTCTGGACTTATCAGAGAGCGTCAGCGTTACGTCCCACCACAGTAGTCGCTTCCAAAATGTCAGGAGCCATTACTTCAGGGACGTACCGCCAGGTTCCGTTGGTCGCATTCGCAGGTCTCAAGGGTCGCCATGCGACTTCGGTCCCATCGGCGACTGTCCCCTGCCATCCAGCGACGAAATCGCTACTCCTTAGGTCGGAACCTCGAGCTCTTGGCTCGTTTACAGGAGCGGGCTGGGCCATTAGGTCTAGACGACGATCTCAGGAAGGAACATCGTGCGGTCGAGATTTGAGAAGCGGATTCCGAAATATCCGCTGCCTTGTAGAGGCCATCGCGGAGCAACAGAAGCCGTCCGATGTAAATCCACCACGCGCCGCCAGGTCTTGCGATTCAGCGGGAGTTTCTAGGCGACGAGCCTTCCTCACGGGCGCAGCAGCGCTGGCAGCAGTCGCTGCAGGAACTGAGCCGTGGGGGACTGGAAGCCTCACGGAATCTGGAGCCGCTCATGCAGCGGTTCTGCCTCGGGGAGTGGGCGAAGGGCCCCTATTGGCCGCTGTGAGCGACGATGATGATGACACCGTTGTCAAACTGTTTGAGGTGGGGTCTGTCTGGTCACCCTTGTTCACTCTGCATAAACTTAACCATTACTCTTTTATTCAAATTCCGTTCATGGCTGCCTCATCTCCGTATCTTACATACCAATGCATTATGCATGTGCCTTGCATTTTCTTCACGTGTCCTGCTTCCAGGATGCAACAGCTTCAGTGGTGGCGATTATGAATGTGGAGGTGAATGGCGGCAGCAGGGGGAAAGGAGGAGCGGCTGAGGAGGCTGTGGAAGGAATTGGCTCCGGATTTGTCTGGGATGAATTTGGTCACATTGTAAGATCGATAGATAGTAAGGCACTGCTGTGGGCCAGTCTTGGAGTATCATTTACGTCGTGGGTGAAGGTGGTCAGGTGTCCTCTGAGCATTCCTCCTGCATTCCACCTGCATTCCTCCTGCATTCCACCTGCATTCCTCTGTGGATTCCTCTGTCCATTCGTCTGTGCATTCCTGTTCCTCTTTGCGTTCCTCTGCGCATTCCTCTCGTATTCCACCTGCATTCCTCCACATCTCATGCGCATCTCGTGGACATCTCATGATGCTCTTCCTCCTCCATTTTGCTGACATGGCAGGTCACCAACTACCACGTGGTTGCCAAGCTGGCGACTGACACTTCTGGGCGCAAGCTTGCAGAGTGAGAATGGAGCGAGGTTGAAGGGAGGTAGAGCTGCGGAAAGAAGTGGGTGGTGGAAATGCTACATTGAGAACGCTTTATTCATTGTGGAAACGTCACCACCAGTTCCATCACTATTCCCTCTCCCTCCACTGGCTTCCCTGATTAACCCCCCCAACTGTCATTGTACTACACTCCTCTGCTACCTCTCCCTCTCCAGGTGTCCCTTCTCACCCCCTC